TCTCCCTATCCTCCTGCTTTCACTGTTAGTGATTACGTATGAAAATCATTCATAACCATATATAATACATTCATTCATTCATTCATTGAAGATTTTATTTATCCCATTCTTTTTCTACTTTAGATATGATGGAGAAGATTTGTAGCTCAGATGGATGATTTTGATGTAGTTGTACTCTCTCTGACCCCAGGTGGATGGTTTATTTGTGAAGCTTTCATTGTCCCAACACTAGGAAACATCTTCAGCACGCATACTTCAATTTGAATTGAAGTGAGCTTTTAGATTTCTCCACGAGTTCACCATTAGTCATCTCACCTGATGGGTGACCTTGAACGTGGTGATTGGTTCTCTTTGTGTGTTTTCACACCCTCTAGACTACTTGTATTGATACTGATTGTTTCCTTGACCTGAGCTTTGATCCTTTATATGTGTGAAATTTCCTTCTTATCGATTGGTGATTTTTTTCTTTGTCGAGTTGTCTATTCATTAACGATTCACTGGGATATCAGGCTTCTAAAAATTCTCTGTCATTCTTGGTGTTTCCTTTGTCTCATATTTGAACGTTGTCGCAGTCAAATTGATGCCCGTGGTTTTCTGTGTGCAGTGATATGAGAGAGGGAGTGGATGTCATGTCTTTTGACGACTAGCTTATGTTCATGGTAGGAAGATGAAGAAGACGTCGTCCACTTTGGCCAATGTTGTGTTTTTCGTAGTTGTTACAATTTATTTTGTAGATGATGTTGGTTTTATCTTCTTTCGCTGTTGAGTCTTTTGATTAACACAGGGTTGGCTGAGTGAAGTGATTTTGTTGGTTTATGTGTGACATCACTTCCTAAAGATTTGAAGAGTGGTTTCTGAGATGTCCTTTATATTTGTTTGGACGATTTTATTTGTGCTTTATTCGGGCGGCCTTTGCTTTGATAGGTTGTCTTGGGAATATATGTCTTTTGATGAGGTTCCGTGGATATCCATTCTTTTGGAATACATCCACGAGGTATCTTTCTTCAATTTTCCTTAAGGTGGGAGTGCTGTAGGGAGTCCTGGCCCTCCTGAATAGTGTTTGTATACAACTCCTTTTGTGCATTATTGGATTTTTCGACTGAGATAATGTCCATATATTAGACAGAGGAAACACCAAGAATGCTAGAGACGTCAATTCGTCAAGCTTTGTATAGTCTTGCAGTGATTTCTGAGGTGTCTTTTATATACAGTAGGGTGATTTTCTACTTTCTTTGTTGTAGTTGCATTCTAATGTGAAGTGGGTTGTTTAATTGTGGTACTCATTACTCAGATAAATCTGCAATCAATAGACAAATTGAATTCTTCGAATTCCGAGTGGAACAGCAGTGGCTTCAGCAGGACATCTCCATCGTTCATTCTGTTCACCACTTCACGACTATCAACAAGCTTCCATTTCTTGTCTACACTCTTCTACTTAGTGTCACCGGATGTCCAACTTGTCAGCGTCCACTTTAGGTGTTTGGTTATCAGTCAGTTCGCTGCCATGGTTCCTCGTTAGTAATCCTTCTTGATTAACAGCTGGCTATCTGATTATCAGTATTGAGCTAGCGAAGGGTTCAACTGTTGATAACAGTGTGTGTGCATCAGCAATAGTGTTAAAAATTCGGATCCTTCTACCTTGTGTTAAATGCTGTGGATTTCCAAGGAACTAACTGAATGTATGAACATTTTGAAACGTTTCTACACACTGAGTCACTCACTATCATCTATTCACATCAAATTGAAAAAGAAAAAACAATTAAATCGATAAAATCAATAACCAGGCATTAGGTCACTCACTGTTCAGTAGTCACATGATAAACAGAAATCAAATCAAAATTATGGTTCAACCATTGAACATGTCAATACTAGAAAAATTAACCAATTTGCTACACATGACTATAATGATAATTTTTATATTATTTGGTGGTTGTAGGGTAGGAAGTCACGTCATGACATATCATCTTTTTAGGCCTTTGAGTCAATTACACTCTGATGACTAATGTATAAACTGGTTGCCTGTAGTCCTCAAGATGTTACTGACTGGAATGTTGATTAGGAGAGCTTCATATGCTTTTAGAAGTGTGTGGGTGGTTGTTCCTTCCTGGTTGACCACACTGTGGAAGTTGATTTTTTCTTGGGGTACTTGAAACACAAAGAGAATTAGTGTTGCATGATCCCAGAGGACAACTGCCTGAGGCCGATCACACACGGCCTGTCTGAACTGGCTTTTTGATTTGGTTCCGTATTAGTAACTTACCGCCTGTTACTGACCACTGTAGGGTAAGTCGGGATGCACAATTTTCTACAGTGGAGAGACAGCGTAGCTGGCTGGCATGCCAGTCATCTGAGGGAAACACCTTACTGCTGTTACATCCCTATTCTCTGCGGTAACTGCTGTCCTAACAATCTTCCTGGCATGGTAGGACCTGCAGGAACATTAGTTACAGCCAGTGTCGGTCGTTGGGTCATTGTGATATGCAGCATGTCGGATCACTATGTCCAGGTAATAGCTATCGGTTGGGCATGTTAAAGGGTTCAGTAGCTTGGAGACTGTTGATGAAATGGTTCAAGATCAGTCTAAGTGACGCGGATGTATTCATTCCTTGTGATCTCATAGGTTCATTACAATCCCCATTCTTCTTCATTTATTTATTCTTTGAACGGAAGATTTGATATTTCAAATAATGGGTGCAGGGTTCGAGTTTCATTGGAATATGTAATCAGAAGACAATGTGATCAACTTATGGTGAAGATACTGACAAAATACAAAGATTTCTACAGGCTTGGACTAAAATTCTGAGTATACTTGACAGGTATTCACCCCTGTCACTTAACAGACACAAGCTGAGGTGGCGCACTAATAATAGCTGTGCTACCAGTGTGCGTCGGTGGCGTAGAGGTAGAATGCCACCCACGTGGTCCGAGGATCGATTACCGGTCGATGCACCGCCAAACCTTGCTTAGCTGGTAATAATCCCGGCAAAGTGGTAAGGTTAGGCGTGAAACTAACAACTTCACCCAGTAAAAATAAAATCACTGCTCCTGAAACTTCGAAGCTCTAGCTGGAAGCCCTATATTCCACTGGGAACGCAAAGGAATAGGAAAAATATTTGGTCTGATCACTTAAGATTCTAGATTTCTCCTAAGCTTCATGAAAAAGTATTAGGAGCAGTTTTCAGAAGCAGTTGATGTGGTTTGTTTAGGCGTACTTTTCAAATTTGTTTCTTTGTTTACAAATTTATTGATTTCTACAAGAATCGACTAGATTAGTGTTAGTTACAATCATTATTATTTCTATTGATTCCTGGAGTTCTGCACGGAACATAAAACCTAGTCGTTTTCTGTCATCACTTTTAGCTGGCTCCACTACTGTCTACAAGCTTCTGTTTCCTCCGCCTTGTCCTGCCCCCCCCCTCCCCACTGATCAACTAATCTTCTCCATGTCACACTCAAACCGATGGTCAGCTGGCCGCTGCAGTGTTTGACTTAAAGGTCTGATATGCGGTGTCAGTAGTGAACTGGCGTCAATATTTTAATCTGATTTCAAAATGATCAAATGGTTTCATTGTAGGCTTTGCTATTGATAAGCCTCGCCCTGGTTATTAGGCCATCGTAAGCCGCGAAAAATAGGGAAGATTCGGTGTAGGGCCAGTGTTCCTATCCTGGAAAGTCAAATCAATCCAATACCTACAGAAACTTCATTGCTGAAACTGGAGAAACGGAATGACTCCGGTTAGTGAAAGCCTTCAGGAGGTCAATCAGTCAAATATGTTTTCTTTCGATGAAGGCAAAAATAAGCCTGGAAAAATTGGAGTGTCAGTACGATGTTCGATTGTAAAAGAAATGAAAAAATGTAGCATAGAAGTGCTGTGACTCTGTGAGAGCTGAGGGAACGGTAGGGGATACGCCAAATTAATAACTGGGGATTCAGCAATCTATTAGATATATCACACAGTGAAACAGTATTGTTTACTGGTTGACAAGGTTTCGAACACAATTTATTGTTCTTCATAATCATTTCATCAGTAATAATCACATGACTTAGAAACTTGACTTTTATAGTTTTCTTTGTCCTCTCCTGTTTGTCGTTGTGGGCGTGGTAGTAGAATTCTCCAGGTATCTGGGTGGACAGGTGTTGAATCATTCCCAGTACATGTATTTGCAGTTGATTCGATAAACAAAGCTTCTGTTATCAATCTCTCCCTCCATTCACCCTGTCATATTAGATTTTAAAATTGTCATCCTGTCCCATCCTATTGTATGGTTGTGTTGTATGTAATTGCACGTAGTGCTATAGCTTAACTATTCTCTAGATTTCTTATCTTATTCGGGTCAACTAATATAGATTTTCCTAGGTTTTTATGCTTGGCTAGTCTGACTGTACTTGTTTAACGACTTTAATATCTGTATTTGACCTAACAATCATTGCAGGCAGAGTATTAGATAAACTAAATTGTTTTGTTTAATTGGCTCCACAGGATTAATCCTTTAACCGACAAATCTTGTTTCTAAGTGGTTTTGTGGGTGATATATCTAATAAACAAACTAATATGGAATTACATATTGCCACAGTACCCAAATTTTTCACATATATTAAGTCAGCAATCTACTTTGGTCATCCAGATGACAGTCATGTACACAATGAGATGGTGACTATCATGATGCTACCAACAACTGCTTGACTGAATCTTATACAGAGGGGAATCAGTCTCCTCCAGGATAAGATAGAGATAGGGCAAACAATGAGAGGACCTTTATAGTGATATCATACACCAACCAGACTCTCTCGAGTGGAACCCAAACAGGAAATGACGATTTTGACTTCTGCTGATGAAGTTGAAGAGATTGTTTGAGAAGCAAGATATGAGAGTTTATCGGTAATTGTAGAGCCAGTCAGCTAAGGAGGATTACAGAGAATAGTGTGAAATTAAAATTTGATTTGCCTAATTCAATTTACCCTCTCTCCATATTTATTCTTTCATTTAAACAAAAAAATAGGTGAACTATCAAAGAAATATGCAAATTTAAGCCGTCAATGAGAATAATATGCTCCGCTTTTCTGTTAAGCCAATTTCAAAAGTCTTCATCACGTTATTACTATTCCCAAGTTCACATTTACCCGTTGACAGAGACAACACCGTTATGTCTACCGGAACGATTTGATAAAACTTTTATTTCACAACATTGTCGTATATTCCAAACACCATTTTATTCTCAAAGTAATAATAATGAAGATAAGCTTGTTAGAAAACTGCGAAGCATCTGTTCACCACGTCGTGCTGAATTATTCTATGAAAAGGTATTGATGAACAATACCAGTCATAATAACAAGGAACTTGATGTCGACCATGATGATGAGAGTCATGTACGAATGAAGCATCAAACACGTCAAGAGATACAATCAGCATTGTATGACTATGCGTTGAATCATCTACTCGGTTTATCCAACAGTAAACAGACCTCAGGGAGGATTCCATTTCTATTGGATCTTGGTTGTGGATGTCAGTCGAATGTCATTAGTCATTACGCTTCCTTCGCCTCTCCTTCATCCTCTTCGTCAGTGTCATCAATGTCCAATAATCCTACCTTTATCCCTATTTGTATCGATCTGTTCAACACTGAATTGCCTTTCCCATCAAGAGATGATAACAGCCGCCGTACTCCTACTTCTGAAGTTATCCAGTTGTTAAACTGTAATCTTATTCGTCAATATACATCCCAATCCAATCAAATTATCCCGTTAAAAGACAACTCTATCGATTATATTATATCGATTTCATTTTTTCAATGGTTATTCATCCAGCCTTATTCATTGCTATCATGGAAATCGATTGATTTTCTATTGTATGAAATTGTTCGCCTGCTGGATCCTCGACATGGTCAATGTGTTCTTCAATTTTATCCGACGAATCAATTGGATGTGAAAAATATTTGTCAATCGATAAGTAGAACTATTCCGAAATTGATTGGTTGTCAACTGGTGTGTCGACCGGTTGTAAATCGTGGAATGAAGATATTTGTGTATTTAACACCGGAAAGGTGATGTTTTGTGGTGCGTGTGCGTGTGTATGTATGTGTGTATATATATGCCTGTAAAAGAGAGATATCTGTACAGAAATATATAATATATTGATTGCATATTGGTTGTGATTTGTTTTTGCTTTTGTAACATGGGTTCTGAGCAGATCACAGGATTTCATGAAGCGCCCCTCTCTATTTCACATGGTTCTCTTCGATCCTTTTCAGCTGATCAAACGATTGGCCATAAGTGATTAATTGCTTCCCATCATCTGCCTCATGTGATACTCGGTCCTACACTCACCTCGTCGTCTCCTATTCGGGATAGCGATTAGAGTAAAAGCAATTACCGGTATAGTGTAAGATTTTTTCTAGCCTATGCTGCGGGTCTCTGGGCAAAATCGTACTTCTGGGGAATAGGAATGTGACGGGAGGAAGGTGTTTCCCTCAGATGACTGGCATGCCAGCCAGCTATGCTGTCTCTCCACTGTAGAAAATTGTGCATCCCGACTTACCCTAGAGTGGTCCGTAGCCGGCGGTAAGTTACCAATATGGAACCAAACCAAAAAGCTAGTTCAGACAGTCCGTATATGATCAGTCTCAGGCAGTTGTCCTCTGGGATCATGCAACACTAATTCTCTTTGTGTTTCAAGTACCCCAAGAAAAAATCAACTTCCACAGTGTAGGCAGCCGGGAAGGAACAACCATCCACACACTTCTAAAAGCTTACGAAGCTCTCCTTATCAACATTCCAGTCAGTAACATCTTGAGGACTACAAGCAACCAGTTTACACATTAGTCATCAGAGTGTGATTGACTCAAAGGCCTAAAAAGATGATATGTCATGACGTGACTTCCTAACCTACAACCACCAAATCACGAAAAAAATTATCATTATAGTCATGTGTAGCAAATTGGTTAATTTTTCTAGTATTGACATGTTTAATGGTTGAACCATAATTTTGATTTTATTTCTATTTATCATGTGACTACTGAACAGTGAGTGACCTAATGCCTGGTTATTGATTTTATCGATTTAATTGTTTTTTTCTTTTTCAATTTGATGTGAATAGATGATAGTGAATGACTCAGTGTGTAGAAACGTTTCAAAATGTTCATACATTCAGTTAGTTCCTTTGATTTCCACAGCATTTAACACAAGGTAGAAGGATCCGAATTTTTAAGACTAGTGCTGATGTACACACACTGTTATCAACAGTTGAACCCTTCGCTAGCTCAATACTGATAATCAGATGGGCAGCTGTGAATCAAGAAGGATTACTAACAAGGAACCATGGCAGCGAACTGACCGATAACCAAACACCTCAAGTGGACGCTGACAAGTTGGACATCCGGTGACACTAAGAAGAACAGTGTAGACAAGAAATGGAAGCTTGTTGGTAGTCGTGAATTGGTGAACCAAATGAACGATGGAGATGTGCTGCTGAAGCCACTGCTGTTCCACTCGGAATGCGAAGAATTCAATTTGTCTATTGATTGGAGATTTATCTGAGTAATGAGTACCACAATTAAACAACACACTTCACACAGAATGCAACTACAACAAAGAAAGTAGAAAATCACCCTACCATATGTAAAAGACATCTCAGAAATCAATACAAGACTCTTCAAACATTTAGGAAGTGATGTCACACACAAACCAACAAAATCACTTCACTCAGCCATTCCTGTGTCAATCAAAAGACTCAACAGCGGAAGAAGATAAACCAACATCATCCAGAATATAAACTGCAATGACTGTGAATAAGATAAGACTGGTCAAAGTGGACAACGTCCTTTTCATCTTCATAATGATGATCATAAACTACTCATCAAAAGACATGACATCCACTCCCTGACTCACATCACTGCATACAGACAACCACGGATATCAATTCGACTGGGACAACGTTCAAATATGAGACAGAAGAAACACCAAGAGTGACAGAGAATTTTTAGAAGCCTGGTATTCCAGTGGATCGTCAATTAGTAGCCACACTGACATACACAAGATTTACCACACACAAAGGATCAAACTACAGGTGAAGGAAACAATCAGTATCAATACAAGTAGCCTAGAGGCTGTGGAAACACTCAGAAACAATCAGTCACCAACTTCAAGGTCAACCACCAGGAGAGATGACTAATGGAAAACTCGTGGAGAAATCTAATAGCTCACTTCAATTCAAATTGAAGTATGCGTGCTGAAGATGTTTCCTAGTGTTGGGGCAATGAAAGCTTCACAAATAAACCATCCAGCTAGCTCAGAGAACACAACTACTTCAAGGTCATCCATCTGAGCTACAAATCTTCTCCATTATATCTATGTCATATGTAGTGTTGTTTTAATCCTGTGTTCACTTCAAAGGCTTCGCTGAGTTTTGCATTGTGAATTGTTTGAAATATACCACTGTCATATAGACTCTCAAGTCTGTGTGCAGGTTAACAGCACTCAAGATCAAAAATAAGATCCGGATTTTCAACTCCCATGGGAAGTCAGTGATACCTACTTTTCGGACCAGAGACTTGGCGCGTCATAACGAGCATCTCAAACAAACTACAGACCTTCATTAACAGTTGTCTTCGCTCAATACTCAAGATCAGATGGCCAGAAAAGATCAGCAACAGAGATCTCTGGCAATGAGCGAACCAACACAGCTGAAACCGATTGTGCAACAAACAAGCAGAAAGAAATGGAGATGGATTGGCCATACTCTGAGGAAACTATCAAGTGACATCACTAGACAGGCCGTTGCTCGAGTGGAACCCGACAGGAAATCGGCGAGTTGGTCGTGGAAGGGCGACTTGGAGGAGGTCATGTGAAGAGGAGATGAAAACGTGTGGGCAGACTTGAAGCCAGTTCGGATGAATTAAAGGATGACTTCTACCTGAAACTGTCTTTTTTGCTGCAAAAAGCAAAACTTTCAGACATAGTTGTTTTAGCAGGCTACTTCAATGCCCAAGTAGGGAAGTTGTGCCAGCCTGAGAAGTGTGTAGGTGATACGTATGGAGTTCCCTGCCGACGAACCGACAACGGTGATCGTCTTCTTCAGTTTTGCTCAGATAATCATCTGTTCCTATTCAGTACTAACTTTAGGCACAAAGAAAGAGGTCGACAGCAGGACTTCCCCCGAGGTACATTGGTGGGCGACAAAAGCGAAAGAGATGGAAAAGGCATTGGCTATTGGCAATACCAGACAACTATTCAGGGTTATCAGGGAAACAGGTGGCAAAAGGCAAATGATAAGCGAAACAATCTCGGGGAAAAACGGTACCATAATTAGCTCCCAGGATAGACGTCTGGAGCGCTGGAAAGAACACTACGAGGAGCAGTCTAATTGGCCCACAGCCACACTTAACCTGCCGGACATCCAACACCTCCCTGAATGGGAGATAGACACAGGTCCTCCGTCACCAATCTGAAGCAAGGCAAAGCAGCGGGACCTGACTTATTGACTCCAGAGGTATTTAAGTACGGTGGAGACAGTTTACTGTCTGCATTAACTGAGGTTCTAGACAGCGTCTGGGAATCAGAGGAAGTCCCATCGGGTTGGTGTAAGTCACTGATCATCCCGATATACAAGAAGGGAGACAAGTCTTCTTGTGATAATCACAGAGGGATTAGCTTGACTAATATAGTATCTAAAATCCTAGGCCCAATAATACTGCGTAGACTAAGTGGTGCTCGGGAGGCACAAACACGAGAGAACTAGGCAGGTTTTAGGCCAGGAAGAGAGTGTATTGATCATATCTTCACCCTTCGACAGATTCTAGAACATAGGCATTCCTACCAGCGTCCGACAATCACTATATTTCTTGACCTAAAGGCGGCATTCGATTCTGTCGACCGAGAGATTCTCTGGCGATGCTTGGCTGTAAAGGGAATACCGAGAAAATGCATTGCACTAATTAAGGCACTCTACTCGAACTCATGCAGCCAGGTGAGGGCTTATGGCGTGATGTCATCTGAAGTGGTGACGACTAGTGGCGTCCGTCAAGGATGCCCATTATCCCCATTTCTATTCAACTTCATTGTAGATGTACTAATGGACTTAACCCTAACACACTTCAGCGACTCAGGGATTGACTTGCTACCAGGGAATAATCTCGTTGACTTAGAAAATGCAAATGATATAGTCCTTGTAGGCGAGGACGCTGACAAAATGCAGAGTCTACTAAACACCTTGAGCAACATTCTTCGTATGTTCGGCATGCGATACGCCCCTGTAAAATGTAAGATGATGTTACAGGATTGGACTACACTGACCCCTAGATTAGAAATAGGAAGAGAAGTGGTAGAGCACGTTGACCGCTTCACTTACTTGGAGCCATGTGAAGACTCCAGCAGAGAACCGAACGCAATGGAGACGCACGGCTGAAGCCCTATGTTCCTCTAGGAACTAAAGGAAACATTAATAATAATATAGCTGTCGAATGAGGTTGATATGGATTTGTGACACTGCCTAGTGTTTTTTATGTAGTTTCCAGCCTGCTACTCTGTGGTTAATGTTGTTGGAAGTCTTTTGATAGTTGATGGAATTGAGGTAGATGCTAGTGTACGGTTGCAATTTGGTCACCGCATAATTTGGCTTTTCCTGAATCTGGAGTGTTATGGACAGAGTTTTGCATTTGGAGTATCTTGTTTAGATGTTCTACTCAGAGTTATTTTTCAATTGGTTTGTTAGACAATTGAATGGACCTGCTTTTACAGATTACAGTTTGAATGTTTACTAGATTAGAGTGGACTGGCTTTTCATGATGACTAGTGCATGGTCTAGTTTTATTTTATGGTGAAATTATATTATATTCATCCTCCTCTTCATATTAAAGATTAAATGGTTTATTGGTAATGAAGAGAACCAATCAAGAACCGTTTTATCCAAAAAGTATTCGAATGAAAGTCGACGTGGATTAAGCGTGCTCTGAGGAGACCGATGAGTGACATTGCACATCAGACTGTCAAAAGAAACTCAAATGGGAAACGACTTGGGCGTAGGATGACATAGAGGAGATCGTATGAGGTAGAAGTGAAAGCTTGTGGGCGATTGTGAAGCCAGCTAAAAGCGACAATTATTATTATTATTCTCTTAGATTGGGAG